TCTGTCTATTTGGTGCAAAGGATCCAAGGGGATATGAAGTGATTGTGACCTGAGAAGTCTAGCTATTAGATTTCCTTCCAGCAGAGCATATATTCTCTACAAGAAATGGTGAAAGTTGCAGAGAATGCCCTATTTGCTACCTTTGTGCCAAAACAGATACTCGCAATTATGGCACTACAGAGTCACTGTCTTTGATTAGCACTGCTCAGCCAAAAAAATGAAGACATCTTATTTCAAAGGAGGTTATAGTAAAAGCATATCCCATCCTCATCTTACGAATCAGTTTAAGTACATAATAGTGAAAATATTCAATGTGTATGTCAACAATGAGGCACAGCATGACAATACTATACTCCCCTTTACAATGTTCTGTTGTATGTAAAGAAAACGTTTTGGGTAATAGTAGGGGCTTCCATAAACCACTGCTTTAAACATTTTAATGCAAGAGAGTACACTTACTTCTGATAGCTTTTCTTTGCAAAGTGGACAATAAGGGTTATGATCAAGGCAACGCTCAAGGCATTTGAGACAGAATGTATGTCCACAAGGAGTGGTAACAGGCTCATAGAATAACCTGAACAAGGTCGATGGCAAGACACAAAAATGTGTAAATTATTCCAATAAACAAGCAATCTAGATATTAAAAGAAGACAAAAATAAGTTACTAAACTTGACATAAGATGGACACAGAAGGGAAAGTGACATTTCTATTCACTACTCAATTACTATAAAATAAGCTTTGATTTCTAGAATAAATTCATTACATCAACACATTAGAAAAACAAATTCAACCACTCTAATCTGCAAAGTTGAGATGCTAAACTCAGCCAAAAAGTACATGAAACAAAAATGTGTTGGACTCGTTTCAAGTCAAGCAATCTTTGCCCACCCTATCAACAGAATCAGATATATGCAGTCATACCTCATACAGAGGGAACATTCAAAGTCAGATGCTTCCACAAGGATTGCTGGTACACCACTTGATGCAGTGGCAATGGAGCTTTCAGGTAAAACAGGGTCATCTAAAAAGTTTTAAAAAATTATATACGATAAAACATTCAAGTAAATAGTATTCTGAAACCAGAGTAGTGATTCCATACCGATTTTTCATTAGTAACTCTTTATATCTCCTCTTTACTACCCTCTTATTTCTCCCAAAAGCCTGCTTTCCATCTGGACTTTTAAATTACACTTTTTTTCTGTTTTGTAAGGTTAGTTTTAGAAAACTACAGATTTGTTTTTCATCTCTTCCATGTGCCCACAGTCAGGCCATTAGGCATAAATCCAGAGGTTGAACTGCTTACATACACATGAACCTTTGGGAACTTTTGTTTCAGCACTGTTTGTAGATTTCTTAATGGGAGTGCATAACTTTCAAGCATGAAAAAAAGAGTTTATAAACCTCTTGCATGGCCTGCTGTTTTAGTAAATTGTTAAATAAATTTCCAAGCTTTAAGAATACTAAACTCTTCAGGCATGACCTACAGCATGCAATTCTAGCCAAGATGGTCAGGCTGAGAGTTTAAGGAATCCTGGCAACAGGTCAGCTAGACCCACAGATCATACTTAAGTCACCCTAACTAGTCTGTGGATATGGGAGACAATTCTTGAGAAAGCATAAATGCCTCAAAAACAGACTGGACAATGCCTGACTCCCAGTTTTTAGCTTTTCTAAGCTCCAGCTCCTTACCCTCTTCTGGAAAAACCAAATAGGTGAGATATGAAAAGCTAAATATTCGTTAAAACAAAAAGGAACTTTTGTTACAGGATAATTTGCCATGAGTCTTCTGCAACCTATACTTGATATAAACCAGAGTGGGTAGTATCACTATTTTGTGGCCTATAAATTAACTGTAGTCACAGAAAAACCCTTATCTCTACCTTATATTTTGAGTGCTAGTTCTCCAAACAATAGCAAGAGCCTAAATTTGCTGCTCAGCAAGAAGTTACACGGGGTCAGGGTCTCATGTCAAAAAAAAATTAATGGTTAAGTGTGAAATGTGATCTCTGGGGTTGAAAGTAGAGGAGGATCAGATTTCCCCACTCTGTTTACTGCCTGGGCTTGCAGTTCACAAGCTACTGTAGAAGAGTTCTCTCTCTAACAGGAGAGAAAACTCTGCAGAGCAGAGTGGCAAGGTAGGGAAATCGAGCTATTGGTTGAACATTTCTGGAAGACGCTGGCATTTACTGTGTTAATTCTGAGGCAGAAGTCATATTTTCCAGGTGTGAAAGGAAAGAAAAAGTATTATGGGATTTCAGGGACTCCCATTAAACAGTTATTACAGTACAAGACAGTGCTACAAAACAGTTGTTATAATACAAGACAGTACAATACTGCCTTCAGCATTTTTTCACACCACCACATTCTTTAGAAGTCTTTGTTTTTGAAAATCATACCAAGTGCTTGCATAGCTATCAAAATGCCAGAAAGGGTGGGACTGTTCTCTTTAAATAGGATCTTTGTTTTCTTGGGAAAATAGTTTTGTATGACTGCTTTTGGATGCATGATTAGTTTCCTTGTTTATTTCATAAAGACAGAAACTAAAGGTTAGTTGTATCTCAGAGGCAAAATAAATGTACCATTGTCACCTGCAGTACAACTGATAAGCCATTGGTGGTATAAACATTAAAAGCGTTCTATTGGAGATGAGAAATAAAAGTTCACTGAATTAATCAATATTGGTCTTGAAGAACATTCGAACTATTAATAATGTTTAAACAACAAAAGGCTTTAATAGCTCCGTTTGTTGGAGGGACAAACAAGAATAACAAGCTACCTGAAGTTCTTCTGTGTATTTCCTTACTGACTCAAGCATTTTAAGACCATGAATATGTACTGTATCACCAGAGAGTATTTAATCTACAAGTAAAAAGAACTAGCATGTTATGATAGAAGTGCTGAAGAACTCCCATTAAGCTACAACACAGACCTTTTTTAGGAATCTTGTTAGGAACATCCAAACTTTGCAAATCCTTCAAATCACTGGACAGTTTTCTTTTTAAATTATCCCCAGGTAAGCTGGAGAGAATTGCTCCCAAGGACTTCTTATTGTCTTCACAATACAGATCCAGGGCAGGATGTGAGGCAGACGAATCAGTGTTTCGAAGGAAGTCAGACTCCTGGGATGGTGTTTTTAACCTGAATACAGTATCCTAAACCAAAATACAAGCTAGAGTCAAGCAGAAGCTTCTCTTACTACTTCTCTGCATTATTTTTTCCAATGATCATTTCCATACTAAAGGAAAGATGGCAATGCTGTGGTAGCAACCAATCTAGGCAAAACCTACGTGCTCAAAAGGTTGAAAAGTTATAGGATTGTTCATTTCATCCTAGTTCTTGTTCTTTTCCAACAGAACCCACCCCACCTCTCATCTCATGCACTCTCACAGTGCATGAACTAACACACAAAAACACTGGATTTTCATTGCAAGAGATGTTATCTTTCCCCTATATTCCCCATTTTTATTTGTCTCTCTCAGAGAAGGAGCAAATCTAAATGGAATTCATATTTCACCCTCCACCCCCCGCCCTCCTGGTTCATCTTCATGTCATCTCAGAGAGTTAGAAAGGAAAGGTAAATTTGCAATTACTATGTTTCTATGTCATGCTAATATTTAAGTACATGCAATGACCATTCACATCAGGTAAATCAGACAAACATTACACATTTTCACACATTCGTTTGGGATTTATGTCAAATATTTTATTCTTTACCTTTGAACACCCAGCACTAGAGCCATCCTCAACAGTAGATTGTGCGTTTATGCTGCTTAAAAATACAGGTTTCAACCTTGTATTGGATGGCCGATTGCAAAAAGGTGCTGTGAGGCTATCGTGCACATTTTCAAAGGCTGGGAAGAACATCTCACACATTATCTAATCAATTAAAAGAAAAAGAATTTAAAGATAAGCTTATTTCAATAACTCGGTGTTGCTTAGTTAAGGGCACTGAATTCCTTTATCTTCTACAGGCCAATAACCTAGCACCCATCTACCATTCTCCTATAAGCAAACTCCCTACATACCCAGTTTCCTATGCTCCTTTATTTCACAGGAATTTCTTTCCCTCACCTCCCAGCATGCCAAAGGGTCTGTAGGTCTCCAATGCTTTCCTGGGCAGAGTTTGTTTCCTCATCTTCACTCCATGACCCTTTATCCCTTGCAATCATTCTACTATTCCCACATTCAGCAGCAGCTCCGTTTTTC